ACCGCTCTCGCCAGCAGGGTCTTCCCTGTACCAGGGGGACCGTACAGCAGCACACCCTGCAAACACAAACATCAAAAACATCAATTCGCTGACTGACAAATGGCTACAACACCTGACTATGCAGTACTTTGACAATCTAGATTTTCGAATCAGATACAGTAATGTTTTTCACATCTGATTCAAAATTTTCACAGTGAATTAAATTTGTTTGGGGTTTGGACTGTTGGGTGGCCAACACAAGGCAAGAAATTAAGTTGGGCATTTTTCTCCTCTTGTGATGTCTCAAAGGTCAATCAGCAGAATAATTAATACACACACACACGATTTACATTAGTGACAAAATAGTTTGGATATTATCTGTAGGACTTTGTTAGTCCTTTATGAGTTTTCTACCAACTAACATCAAAATGTGAAAAAAAAGCAAAACTTCATCAGCTCTCTGGACAATCACCCACCTTTGGCTGTGCAATGCCTAAAGCCTCAAACAGCTCTGGATGCTTTACAGGCAGCTCAATCACTTCTTTGATCTCCTTGATCTGTTTATCCAGGCCACCAATCATTTCATAGGTGGAGTCTGGCACCTTCTCCACCATCATGAGGGATACCAGCGGATCCACCTTGTTGGGCAAGATCTTGTGCAGTGTGTAGCTGTCGTTTCTCAGAGCCACACGGCAATTTGGAGTCACCTGTTGCAAACACAACAAAGGGATGATAACAGGGATCCCAAAAGTTGTGGATACAAGTGAAATTTTGCACGTGTTCTGTTTTCCTCTGTAGTTTTATGGTAAGTCACTATAAAGATAATGGCAAAACTATTTAAGCAGTCTAACTCACAACCCACATTCACATGAACAACTATAATACGTACATCGTTGATGTCAATGTTCTTGTCCACATCCACAACAAATTTTCCTTCTGGATGCACCTGAAAATGACGAGGAGACGTTAAATTGGACCGTATCTCATAATGAAAATGGAGCATGCTGCTTTGTGCACTGTGCACAGCGTACCTTGACCAGTACTTTCTTTTTGTCCATGACCCTCACCACTTCTCCGACATAGGATCCCTGCTCCTGCAGTAACTGCAGCTCCTCACGAAGGAGACGCACTAAGAGACACAGAGAATTAAGATCATTTCATCAATGGGGAATTCTTATGTACAATTAAATATTTTTTTTACATTACAAAAATGATGTTGCCGTAATAACGACAGTATACCTTTGGCATTGAGCTCATTCCTCTGTGCCTGCAGACGTCTAAGATTCTGGCTCTTGTCGTTCACTGTCAACTGGGGGGGAAAAACAGTTTAGAACTGACAGGCAAACACACATTGTGCAATACTGAGTCACATCACAAGCTGATAGATGGCACAGATATTCATTTCTTACTTGCAACTCTTCTATCTTAGACAAGTAGTACTGCCGAAGACCTGATCCACCTTTACTCTCCCCCATCTCCATCTGTCAAAGAGAAGAAAGCATTTGTCTTAGTGATACTGATTTTTTTCAAAGTTAAATCCCCACCATTAACTTTGAATAAAGCAGCAAGTAATTAATACACACATTATAATCAATCTCAGATGTTTTACATTAAATAGTGCTTTTTAATATAAACCTGCTTTTTTTTTTTTTTTATATATATATTTTTTTTTTTTTTTTTAAAGCCCAGCATCAATTCAATATTCACAGTGTAATCGAATATTTGTTTAGACCTACTTTTTAAATTACGTTTTTGATCTGTAAAGTGTCACCAAAATAAAAAAAAATATATACAAAAATAAAAAAAAAAAGTCCCAAGAACACCAGGTAGGTCTTCAAAACAACATAGGGAAAGCCCTAAAGATATCAAATTTACAATATTACAATTTGGTTGCGAAACCTCATTTTGAAAAAGCTGAAACCTGAGAACATTGGAGGATTTTGTTAGAACTGTCATTCTCCAATTTTCATTACTTTCACATGTCGACTAGTTACATTGACGACAAGTTGGTTAAGTGTTTTCCTAATATTGCCAAATTACATTAAACTACACATATGTAAAGAATACCTGTAAACACTGATCACCCAGTAAGTGTGATGAGTAATGCTAACGGGTTGAGACAATAACGATGTTTCAAGTTGTTTTGACGGGTTTATCCCGTTAAACCCGTCAAAACAGTTAAACACAAACTATTTACGTCTCAGAGTTAGTTACCTTCGCCTCCATAGTTAGCAAATTTATTTGCAGACGAACACAAGTTAATGTTAGCTAACGTTAGCTAATCCAAAGACAGCAAAGACGCTGCTACGGAACTACTTTGCCATTCTTAAACAACAACCCAATATTAACTTATTATTAGCCACTTTTCAGTTTTCTAAACATTAGAATAGAGAAGACAGTTACCGACACACCGCTGCGACTCATTCTGAGCAGCTAGCTCAAGTTAGCACCAAGCTACGTCCGACTGACAGTGAGCCTTAGTTAGCGCTTAGCTTAGTTAGCTACAATGAGACAGCAAACCGGCAGCATACAACACATTCACTGTTTTCAATGAAGTAACGTTTAAAAAAATCACACTACAGCCGCACAGTGGTTCAGTCTCACAACCGGCTTAAAGAAACCGCTCGACTCGAATCAGAACAGCAATGTTTCCCCGATAATGTGCCAATACAGTGAACAAAACGACAGAAATAGACACCTACATGGTCAATCCCGTCCACCTCCATTTTTAAGTTTCTGCATCCGCTGGAGACCAGGCGTATTTCCGGTACACTTCTTCTTCGCAGTTTTTTTTACTAGGCGTACATTCGCACATCGTCCTCTACGGGCCTTTCTAAAAAGTACAGACGACACAACAAGTAGCAATAATAATAAACCCACTACATTAAATAAATAAACTCACCCCTTCCTCCACGTTTGATTTATTTATTTTTTGGTCACGTAAAATAATCTGACAACGCTCTCCAAATCTTCAGTGATTGTTAAAAGTTTTATTCAGTTAGCTTTTGACTTTATGGGAACATTACGTGAATTGAACATCACCCTCTCTGCCAAGAAGTTTGGCTGAACACATCCAGGTCTTCTGTTGCCACAGCGACCCTCATTTAGAACCTGTGGCACAGAACGGAACCGGAACCAGACCTGGACTGACCGTATGAAACAGGGATCTCGACTGGCACGTTTTTCTTTTTTCTTTCAAGATGAATACAAGGAAGAGGTTTGTTCAACATTTTAGTAATAATATTAACAACAATAATAGAATAGAATAGAATAGAATAGAATTTTATTGATCCCTTTGGTGGAAATCTCAGGGAAATTGTTGAAGGTTTAGTTTTGTTGATGTAGTAGTAATAATAATCTTTAAAAAATGAATTAAAAAATAAACAAAATAATAGTAATAATATAGTAATAATACTACTATTAATAACAATACAATTAATCATAACAATAAACGTAATAATACATTTTAAAATAAATAAAAAATCATCCCTTCCTCCACTGTTGTCCAGGCTGGTTGGTCTAGTGGTAGGATTCTTGTAAATTTTTCTCGTAGATTAATCGTAGCAACTGGACTTGCTTTTAATCTACGATTAATCAACAAGAATAACCATGACCTGGATGACTGAGAATCTTCACAGATTCTTGTAAAGAGGCCTGGGTTCAAATCCCGGATGAGCCCTTTCAGTGTTTTGGAGGAAGTGGTGGCTCAGCAGTTCAGGCTCTGGGCATAGTTTTAAAAAAAATAACAGTCCTTAACATATTCTGACAAAATGATTAAGTTTAAATTTGACAGTTTCAAAGATAATAATATAAAACAAAATAAAAAATAAAATATAAATAATATATATATTTGTGCTGCCACACATTAATGATAAAACGTGTGAATTCTACACCAATAATATGCTAGTTTCAGCCTCATCTGTCTATATTTTGCCTCTAAAATATGCTCTAATCATCTACTTCCGAGTTGCCCTGTCTAAGCATAGTGGTCAAATTCAGTCCAGATGGGAAAAAGGCATAGATATCGCTCCTTTTTTACATTTTCACAAATAGAGTAATGGTTTCACAAATTTGACAGTGGGGATTTACCTAAAATATCAAACATAGCTTTACATCTTTCCACAGTGTGTCTAAAGAGCCAACATCCCCGTTTCTTTACTTTCTCCATTGATCAGAAAGTGTCTTTCGAGGTTTACAGCCAGGTTAGATGTCAAATGAGGATAAACACCACTTCCAGTTGTGTCTTTCACCTCCTCTCAGCTCCTCTTTGCCACTCCTTGAACAGAGCAGACCGAGATAGCGTTCAAAAAGGGTGTGAACAACAGCAGCTTAGTTGGATTTAAAGCTGCAGACAGTGAAACAGCCCATCTGAAACAGGGATAAAATAGGGATATTAATGGCAAGGTAGAATTAACGATCTGTGTGGGATGTTGAGCTGAAACTTGAAATACACATTCTTGAGACGTGTGTGACTTTCATTAACTTGCCAAAAGGGGATATAAGACCTTTAACTTTCCCTTAACTCACAAATTGAAAGCATATGATTAAAAGCTGCAAATTAGAAGCTAGGTTTCGTGTCATCAAGCATTAACCCTAAAAAAAGTGTTGCTTTGTACCAGAAAAACTTGTAATACTAACTTATGAACAGGATGCAATTATGTTCAAATGCTTTGTCATACAAATACATGTACTATTTAATAATAAATGTATAATTTAGTGTTAACTGTAGGTCACATTGTTCCTTTGGATCAGTGTAATCTTACAAGCTGAGACACAGCTCTCAACAGCTCGAGGACAACCAGACAAACCTGTTGAAACGGCTGCTTTCAGAAGCACCTGAGCTCTGCAACCGGCCCAAACATGCACCGTCATGGCACAACTCCAGCTCTCTGATCATACAGCAGAAGCTGTACACTAAAAGACATTAATACAAGGAAACGCCATTAGTAATAATAACAACACAATGGGTAATATTATATGTAACTTATGCACCCATTCTATATCAAATATATAGTTCAACAAACATTTGTAAGTATATTTATTGTAAAAAATACTCCAAATGTATAAAAGATAAAGGCTTTTGATTGATACACAACATGCAAACATTTTACAAAGAGGCTGTACAAAAAATGAAAACCATTTGTACACAATATTTCTCAAATTCATGTGCCTTCCTCACATTTGGCACAAAATGTTAACATGGAATGTTTCAAGAACTTCTCAAGACAAAAAAACAAATTCAGTGAAAAGTTAACAAATGAAAACTGTACACAACAATTTGGCGCTTTGTTGAGTTGACTAGTAACTACAGTTGCATTTCTATTCTTTACTTATTGATTTATTTTTAAATTCATACCAGTTATACAGATAAAGATCTCTGCAGTTCAGAAAGTCTGCCGCAGGTCCTCTTCCTGGCATTACAAATAATAAAACACCCCAATAACAAATGAAAACAGCATGTAAACATTCAAAAGGTACAAAAGAAGAGCTGAAGAACAACAGCTGGACCGAGTGGACTCGTTCTTTTACAAATCAGGAACTCAATCTTTTCCCAGAGTAGAGCCTTCTTGGAAATCCTGCTCTTTTCATTTCAGATTATGTATCTACCAAAAAAAAACAAAAAACAGCTATGTTGGCATAAAAAGCAATTTCTAGCTTTTATCAATCCATTAGACATTTAGACTTCTCATTCCCATGTGTTTTCAAAAATATAATCAACATTTTCTGCAGTAAAATGTGTTATAGTATGAACCTATATATTCAGTCCTACAAGGCTTCCCATTTCTAGTTAGCGGGCATAAGGCATTGCCCCCATCTAAAGGTTATGGCTTTTAAAAGTGAAGGTAAACAGGCACCATTTCGTAATAGCACACAAGGTGATAGTAAAAAAAAAAAAACATCTTAACAGCACCAGTGCTTAAACAGTTTTAAGCATTCTGTACCATAAGTGAAACATATTGCAAAAAAAGGCAAAGGTTATTTGAACAGGCTCAAAATGGCAGACAATGCAAGGCAAGCGTACTATAAAAGACATGCAAATCATCACTTTGGTCCCGTATACTCATTACATGACGATGGCTTTACGGACACTGAAGCTGCAACGTTAGCTTGATTCCTTCCAGTTTCACTTAAGTGGACATTAACATCTGATGAGTGCTAAGTCAGCTGGGATTCCTCTGGAATATATCTTTAGGTGAGTCGGATACCCAACACTTGCTCCAACTCCTGTCTTCTCTGCTGCACCTGAAACAAAGCGGGGATGGTGTCCGTGCATGTTAAAATCACTCATCTAAATTACACAGATCTGCTGTGGAACATGCACAATGTTTGGCAGTGCATTAGCTTCTGGATTTACTCACTTTTGAGTAAATGTATCGTCCCACTGCCTCTGGGACCCACGGTGCCTGGTAGAACTCAGTCCTCCTCTCCTCCTCCGGGTTTCCAGTCACATCAGTCATCAACTGAAGAAACAGAAATGTATCGTTGAATATAAGGAGCCACAGTTTCATGATAACAGAGAAAGGTTTCATTACCAAAACACCAAACTAGTACTTGAAAGACTGACTTGTAAATTGTCAACTGACTTGGCAGTACTGAGAGTTTGATGGATCGCCTTTTCATGTGATGTGATCAAAGTGATCGAAGTGATGTCTTTGATTCCATCTGACTACTGACGCTATGTTGTAATATGTCTAATTTTACTAAATTTCATATTAAACTGTGTTTGCATCGGCATGCACTGTCTGAGCCAAAGGAGCCCAGGTGCACTATAGCTGCAGGCAATTATGGTCCTGGCCAGCTGGTAATTACCTACGTGAAGCAGCAACAGGCAACCGGTACCGACAAAGTAGTTGTATTGTGGAGCATGGCGTTATTCAATTTTGGGAAACTCGCGCCAGACGTTGATTTTTTCAAACGAAAAAAAAGTAACATTTTGGAATAAACTGGCTGACTGGAGAAAATCTGTGTGCTAAAAATTATATATACATTTGTTGGGGTTCTCATGAGAACAAAGCAGCCATTTAGGCTTCAAGAATTACATTTATTGAACTGATGAGACACCAGAGCTTTTTCTGCCATTAAATGACTAGAATGCAGCATCTGAATAATTTCATGCAACACCTATGGGCTACAGGAACGAGCAGAAAGTCTGTGTTGAGCATTCAGAATCGCTCTAGAGAGAAAAAGGTATCAGCCAGAGTAAAAGTGTAGTTCGTCATATATTATGGGACTAGACAGTAACGTGTTCAGATGATGTTATTGAGTGGAGAGCTTGCAAGTCTTATTTATAGCCTTCATGTTGTTGGACTAGGTTAGTGCATTTGGCCAGTTTATAGTCAGTCTTTCAGAGTTAATGAGCACTAGGAGTGTTTAATAGCCCAGTTTAACCTGCAGGAGCTTGTAAAGGCTCCTGTTAACTGCTGTGCTCCCATGGATGATACTAATTCATGACGAACAGGGAGACAATCAGCTGTCACAGATAATGAGCTCAAATCTAGAAATGCTAACACACTCCCTCCACAAGCAGTGCCTACACTGAAACATAAAAAAAACCTGGATACCAACAGTATAGTGCTAAATGCTAATGCTGTTGTACAACCTCCAGCTGGTAGACTTCAAGAAGAGCTTTTACTGAACAACGTGTTTATGTGTCATCCTATAAGGACAACTGAGGAAAAGGTCATATAGATGTAGTTGGAAGTGGTCGACACATTTACCTTCAGATCTCTGCTCTGAGACTTCAGCCAGTCCTGGATGAAGTCCTGTGGATTATTGCTGAAGCTCAGCATAAAGTCTCTCTCAGTCTTCAGCTGGTTGATGTACTCAATGGTTTCATGAATCTGCAGTGAATAGAAAAAGTGACGATCAGTGTTTGATGGATTCTAGCATTTTTTTCTTTTATTACCATTTTCCCCAAAATGCACATGATGTGGAGGAAAAGCCCTACCTTCATCTCAAGCGCAGCAATTTCCTGTTGGTTGGTTGTAGAGGACAGGAAGCTGTTCATTTGGCCCTTCAGTGGGTCGTCCACCTCCACATCGATGTCATAACACGCTGTCTTTTTCTGATCTGTGGGATCCACACTGCTCAGAGAAGGCAGAGACAGCAAAACAGAATTCGAGTTAGATGGTAACAAGGGAGGAAAAGTGATGCTGACCACGCATTTGTAAGAGCAGATCATTAAAAAAAAAAGCCCTCATAGGCCAATTCATAAAGCTAAGGAAATAAAATTAGAAATGCCTTGTGCCCCAAATGCTTTGGAAATACCTTAGCGGATAAGACGCTTCCTGAGATGGTGCCAAAACTGATAATTCAGGCAGAGGAAAAAAAAAAACCTACACAGGCACAAAAGCACTATAATGATCCACACTCCCCTACCTAATGATGTGATTGATAATAATGGGGTCAGGGTGCTGCAGCAGGCCCGCCAGCTTCATGGGAATCTCAGAGAATCTCATGCGTGGACAGCCGAAGATCTAAACAGTTGAAAAATAGAGCATGTCAGATAGGTAAGGTCAGTTGCACATTTGAGGCCCGTGAAAGACTGTATTAGCAATACTCATATTTGAATCTACAAATGAGTTATTTAATGCAATAAACTATTAATTTTAGGGCAAGAAAAAAAACAAAAAAAACAAGTGACTGATGCAACAATAATCTTCCTTTTCATTACTGGTTTAAAGGAACAAATATTAAAAACGTTTCTGAACATTTGATAATACATACACAATTACATTTCATGCTAAAATGTTAAAGAGAACCTGAGAAATGCTGAGCTTGAATTGCCCACTATCCTATTACCTGTCTGAAATAGCGGTTGCAATTGATGTACTCCTTCTCGTGACTATCCTGCAGCTTGTTGTTCTTGATGTAGAGCCAGAGAGCTTGCATGATGCTGGCCCGTGTCTGTGTGTGCACACCCAGAAGGCGAGCCAACCGTGGGTCCAATTTGTACTGAGGGGGCTTAAAAAAAAAGAAAAAAAAAGCCAGCGTTAAAAAGGAAATTAAGTCATAACATCCAGGAATACAACTACTTGAAAGACGATAACTGAAATCGTACCTGGTGGTCGAGCATGAGCAGAAGGGTGCATTTCACATTCACGTCGCCGGGCCTTTTGACCTGGAAACCATCCGTCTCCTGAGTGGTGGGCATTCTGTGCCACTGAGAGATGAACACGTGTAAAAAAGACTAAAACAGATTACCTCCGAGCCACCGCCACAGCCCTGTATTTACTCCTTTCTTCTAGCTTGCTTATGTAAATACAGATAGTAAATCTTCTACGTGGAAGTAAACACTCCAAGACAATACTGGCTCAGTTCCAGTTTCATTAAATCGTGCAATCATTGGGTATCTATGACTGTAAACATTTGCTTTCAACATTGTTGGTTTTGTGGGCTCATTTGTACGAGTTGGCATCTTGATCAAAACATTTTCCTTAATTATGTTAATTAAAAATATGAAAGCTGCCATTAAACTCATGTTAATAAAAGGCTGATTTATTAGTGGAAATAATTCACGCATAATAACCCCTGCTGCTCTGACAAACAAGCTCACAAAGGGATTGGTTTCGAGCTTTAGTGATTCCAGCTGAACTCAGCTAAAAAAAAAAAAAAAAAAATGGACTGGTGCCTGGTGAGCCAGTCTCAGAGGATGTTGGTGTCAATTTGCCTACAATGTTCCAAGGCTTATGTCATACCTCTACTAAGTGATTGTCAGGTCCATAGAGCTCCTTATCAAGCTCAATCACCAGACTTTTGAAGAAAGATGAGAACTTCCTCTTCTGCTTGCCAGGCTGGAAATAAAGAGCATACAAAAGACAGTGAAAAACACAGAGATACAAGATTGCTATCAGTGTTTTCTTATTATGCCGTGTCAGGCTGCAACTGCATTGTTTAGCTCTGACCACATTGGGGGTGGTGAAGCACAAAACTGTAGACTAGAAAAAGCTGCTGCACCCCCGCCCTTTCCACAGCCCTGTCAAAGTCTGTTTGCACAACATGACCCCTCTCACTCCTTCCCTCACATCCCTTTTTTCTTTTTCTGTTAGTCCATGCAATACTCCTACGCATGCCTAGACCAGAGGAGAAAAATTAAGAGGAGAGAGAGCGAGAGAGAGAGAAAAAGACTCCTTCATGTGGCCCCAGATGACACAATGAGAAGAGCTGGAATTGATGGAGGGAGGGATGGAGGGAGGGGAGAGGCATGTCAGCTTATGGTATGCAACGGCCAGTGGTTTCAATTCCGTATTTCAAGAGAACATGAGCTGTGAGCAGTTGTGGGGTGGAATGGGGAGAGCTGTAAACACACATCTGGCTGCGTGGTCTGAGCCAAGGACACAGGCCAACTGAAGTTTTTCAGAAAACACAATAACAGAGACTGAAATACTCTGAGTCAGACCACACTGAGACAATGGAGAAACAGAGCAAGAAGCAACAGCCGCGTTGATTCACTTACTTCCTCCAGGAGTTTGCCTTCCACTCTCAGCTCCCAGGAGGACACCTTCTCCGCCTCCTCACCCTCAGGCTTGCTGGGAGTGTAAGTGTTGGAAATGTAGATCCTTAGCTTACGCTTTTGCTGCGTCAAACACAAGAACAAGCAGATGTGTCGGGGATTACGTTCATAACCGACTCTCAAACACTGGCACGTTTGTTTGAGATCGGCAAGTTCACTTTTTCTTATGCACATGGTTGATGGAGACAAGGGTTCAACAAAACATTTCAAATTTCAATCCTTAAGATTAACAGCATTTGCATTCAGTAGTTTCCATTCTATATATGTAATTGGATTTTCTTATTCCAGCGCTGGATCTAGATTGCTCAAGTACTGAGGGTCACACAGAACATGATGTATGCATGTAATCCACTGTTACTATTTTAGTTTCCCATCAGTTCACTGTTCTACTTTCCTACAGCCATACTACAGTGGTATTAAATTACACACATTGTTTACAGGCAGTGACTGTTATTGTAAAGACTTCACACAAAACTGCATTTGTCACGGAGGTTAGTTCTGGCTGCAATCACTTTTTTTTTTTTTTTTAATATCTTTTAATGGGCTTTTTGCCTTTATTTAGAGCAGTGGAGAAAGACAGGAGAAGAATGGGGAGAGACCTGCAGCAAAGGGTCATGAGCAGGAGTCGAACCCACGACCGCTGCATCGGGGAACTAAAGCCCCTGTTCATGGGGTCAACTAGGTGAGCTATAGGGACGCCCGGCTGCAATCATTTATTAAAAATGCATCAATAAAACAAAACAAATGTCATTTTTTTTAGCCTTTTTTTAAGAGCAGATTAATTTTAAATATTTTGTGGAGCAACTAAACACGATGGAGCCACTGTCAGCTGTCAGAGCAACAGTTGAAGGAGACAGGCTGCTCTCCTCCACCTTCTCAGCCTGATAACAAGCTTCACTGTGTCCTGCAGTCGAGTGGAAATTTACTTCCACTGTGCACAGCAGGACACCTGACCACATTTGTGATTATGTTTGACTTTTTCATTTAAAAAAAAAAAGAAGTGAATTTGTTTGAGTTCACCGTAAACAGACTTGCCAGTTGCTGCTCTTTTACAGCGTCTCCCTGCTGTTTGTATTTAAGGCAGCACTTCATAAAGCTTAAAGGTTATCTTAAAAATGTCTTTTTATTATCAGAAAAATGTGGCAAAGCATCAAGAAAAAAATACCATAATGGGCTTCTTGATGGCCTCCTGAATCTCCATACGCTTTCGGGCGATGGTCTGATCCAGCTTCCTCTCGAAGGCCAGCAGATCCATGTAGGCCTGGGACTCTGGGACCAGGTCTCGGATCTGAAGGGCAGCAGAATGTGAGTTTTAAGGGAAAAAATGCCAACTGTGATTAGATTTTTTAATTTCAAAGTTTTCCTACCCTCTGTGGCAGAACTTTGTCGGCCATCTTGCGCCTTTTTGGTCTAAATCACAGAAAAAGGATAAAACAGAAGATGAGTTCCAAAGTATTCAGTTCAGAAAGAAAACATGAATCGACCACGTAAACATCCGTCTCTAAAACACAAAAGATCCCATTTCTAAAAATAACACAATCTCAAACAGGGACAAGCTATGTTCTGTCTCAGTGTGTCTCATCATTTAGCAAGTATGAGCTTACCGATAACCAATTTGCAAGGAACTGGCTGCACACTGACACATGATACAAGATTAGCTGAAAGACCTCGTTCACTTCATTTGATTATCAGTTATTTGTAGAAAACTTCACAGAGCAATAACACAATCTCGGCCAGTGTTATCTCTTTCCTAAGTCCCCCTGAAAGACTGCCTCAGGTTTCCACTTATCACTGCTACGGACTTCATAAAAGCGAGTTTGTTTCTTTAATTCAATTATACAGTTCCCCCTCATTATGGCTAAACTTAATTCCAAAGTGCTGTAAGGAGAATTTAGGATGCGCTTCTAGCACTGTGGCTCACTTATCCTCCACTGCCAAGAATATAGCTACGAGATAAACCTTAAAGCACAACAGATTCATTGTGGTTGAAAACTGTAAATGCCTTTTCATATGATGGCTCGCCTCATTTATGGCATCACTGAGCAGTTTGAAGTCAAAAATAGCCACTTGTGTCTGTTGCTTTCAAAGCGAAGGCTGGTCATGAGATGCCGCTCTCCTCATGTCTGCGTGATCTGAGCTGCGCATAAACAGTTCAGCAACTTCACCGCAGAAAGGAAACCTGACTGAAAAGTGTTATCATGTTAATAAACCACAGCAAGGAAGAGCTAGTTACTGCATTTCTATAGGTATGATACCATTACTACGTGTACTGGTTGAGGAAAACAGTACTAGTAGAGTCCTTTAGGGTAATCCTGTTTGCTATGAAGCTGTGTTGTGAATAAGGACAGACTCTCTACTCTCCTCTTTTTTTTTTGTTTTGTTTAGAGAACAGTTCTTTTCTTAAAATTTTATTATCCTCCTGAGCATTTTCTTGGACTCGTCAGGAGAAGCAATTCTAAAAATAAATTGAATGATTTGATTTGGCCACAGCTTTATACCAGTTGTTTGTTTGACGAACCATCTGAAAATTAAGTTTCAGGTTTCGTTGAAAACATGAATAATCAAGAACAAAATTGTTGGAATAATTTGTACTGAAAATAACGGTTAATTAGTTAGTTTTTTTAAGGTAGTGAAGCAAAAAGGTGCCATTCTCTACATGTTGGCCCCTGGCTGTTGTATTCAATCAACCCCGGCATTATTCCTCTCCTGCTCTCACACAAACACTCTCACATCTCCACAGTTTACCCTCGTCTGAGGCCTCCCAGCGCCTCTTGCTGCTGATGTTGATGCTGCTGATGAAGAAAGCGCTTCCTTGAGGCGTCCATGCTCGGGGGTCCCATGCCTGGCCTCATGGGAATGTTACCGCCGCCGTAAGAGGGGCCTGGCAGCTGACCCCCCATTGACCCCATGGGGCCCCCCACTCTATTGGGTGGCATCCCCGGGCGCTGGAGATAAAGGAGGGAAGCTGAAGCTATGATTTGTGGTTCATGAGAATTTGAAACACACATTTTTGTGTAATAACGTCTTTGCTTATTAATTTCTGTAGTTTTAACTCACATTTAAAAAAAAAAAAAAAGGTATGTAATAGAGCTGTAACAATTACGTCACCAACAATAAATGAATCACCAACTATTTCAATCATCAATCAATTAGTTTGAGTGATCTTTTTTTTCTGATTCCAGCTTTGTAAATGTGAATATTTTCTGGTTTCTTTCCTCCTCTATGACAGTAAGCTGAATAGCTTTGAGTTTTAGAGAAAACAAAAGACATCCAAGGATGTAATCTCAGGTTTTGGGAAACTCTGCTCAACATTTCATCGACTAAACAACTATTCTATGAATCAAGAAAATAATCCACAGATTAAGAAACAATACAAACAACAGCTTTTGCATGTTTGGAGATGATCTGGGTACATTTTGTCTCTTCAGTACTGGTTTACAACAGGTGAGTGTATGTTACTAATGTGATTTGGATGTCAGATTTCAAGGCAGAAAGAGGGGGAGGGTCCCACAGGGTCTTAGCCATCATTATACAGAGAATTCAGTGGATGACAAATCTAATCAAAGACAAAGCATATAATTAAGCAACTGTCTAAAATCTAATTACATGTTTTAGCTACCCAGCTTGTGCATATATTTCAGATTATGTGATTTATTAATACCAAGCTTTAGGTGTTCACAGTGTGTATTAAATAAAGTGTGCAGCAAAACACAGTGCTACTGCTCACACTGCATGTTATTGCACATACATGCTTAAATAACAACATGTCCGTAAATGTGCAGATTGGACACAAGGGTTTAATGGACATGTGTCATACACAGAAGGTTATCATGGCCTCTTTCTTCATGTTTCAATCTTGTTCTGCAAGATTTAACGAATTTATCAGCACTGTTTGCAAATGTTCCCATCTTAAAACACAGCTGTCTGTCTCATATCTGTGCCTGTAACTGACAAAGAGCAGACAAGTGTACTGGTGCATGGTAGCTGCAGAGCACATGAAGCTGCAGATGGTGGCAGAGCTGGGATAACATATGCAGGCTTACCTCTGGGCAGATGGTGGTGATGATAAACTTACTTTTGTTTTCACCCTAACTGACAGCAGGCTGAGGGCAACCACGTGATTTTCACTTTCTCACTTACAAAAAACAAACACTTTTCTGGAGTTGCTGATTGAACCACCAACTATTTTAAAAGGTATTCAATGACGAATCACCTTTAAGGCCATTTTAAAAGATTTGGATTCAATTTGTTGATGGCTGCAAGTAATTGTAGAGCCTTTTCAAAGGCGGAAGCAGTGATCACACGATGAAATATTACAAAAAAAATATAGCTTTTAAAGTGACTTTCATACTATAGAGTGACTTCTTTCAATTGGACAAGTGTGTTAAATCCCACATTTGGGGCTGAATTCACTCTTAAAATCAGCGAAGGCGGTGTAAAGCCGAAGAGAGAAATGCAGTCACCCTTCACTTTCGCTCATCACCGGGTTTCTCTATTTAATGAAGAGAAATCATATTAAAAACCTACCTGGGGGTACTGGGGAGTGGTGTTCATGCTCCGGGGGTATCCCGCCGGAGGTTGCGGCATTCCTGCCATCCTCATGCCCGCGGCGTGCCCGACGTTCATGGGGCTCACATTGGGATTCATCGGAGGACCCGTGAAGCCTCCTCTTGATGCCATCTTCAAGATCCACAAGTGGTTAAAAGTGACCGAAACTTCAAACGGATTTCGGCCCTAATAAAAGCCGAACCGGTCGCTAAACGAGTGTCGCTCGGAGACGTCTGAGGGCGGTTATCCGCCTACCTGCGGTCACTTTAGCGGAGCTCCTGTTTGACAGCAAGCACACTGTCAACAAAAAGCTAGCTAATGTTAGCTCGGTTCCTCCCGTGTCAAGTTCCGGGATTTGCTTGTACCCAGTAACCGCTGCTTTTGTGGACACTAACGGCTGGCTGTTGTTCGTCGGGTCCTACCTCGGTCTTTCCGTCGGAACATCGCTAACTAACAGCTATTTGAGTGTGAGGCCGGTGGAAAACATGAGAAGTGACTTACGACAAACTGAGAGTGTGAAGCTTCAACAAGTTCTCTTATAACTGCCCACACACGGCACTGCGTGCTGCGTTCACGCCTGTGGGAAGTTCCGTCCTTCCACATTTCAGCGCACAATCATGGTTACCCTCGGCTTCTAATTCTGTAGCTCTTGGTGGGAAAACATTTAAAACATATTTGGACTCGAAATTATCACTATTTTAATGTTTATTGCATTAAATTCTATGTTTTTATGATTAAAGATGTGGCGTTCACGGGCAATGCTGCTTTCTGCATTCATGATTTTGCAACATGTCATTGTGTAATTTTCTCTCTGAATTAAAACCGCAACCATCAGAGGTTTCCAGTAATTTTCAACTCCATTTATTTTAAAATGTGGCAATTAAGTCACCTGAACTAAACTGTTTGGGGGTTCCAAACAATAAGTGGATGCGGGCCCGTTGGAAAGATAAATAAATTTAAAAAAAAATCTAAAAATCTGGTGGCAAAAACAGGGAAAACCTGTGAAATAACAATGAAAAAATCTATTTACAATTTTATATTATTTGTATTTTTAAAACATTATTTGTCACTTTAATATACAGATTTTTTTTTCAGTGTAAAATAATATTTTACATTGATTTTAAAAAGTGCTATTGTTTTGATTTACCTTTTATAGTGCACCACACATCTGCTGCCCTCCATGCACTGTGTGCAAAAATAATAGTTTTTAAATAGTCTTCAGAAGGTTTCTTCAAAGCATCATCACCAGTTGAAGAACCTTTTCAGTTAGGAGATTGTTATTCACAAGCTTTATGTGGTTCTTTAAAGGATTAAAAGTTTTTCATTTTTATTGGAGTTGTTACACTTGGTGGCCTTCACTAGCATCAAATTATATGCACAACTAATGATTATTATCCTTATTGATAATTCTGCAGATTATTTTTGCAATTACTCTGTTAATCACTTGGTCCATAAAACATCATAAATGCCTTCACAGTTTCTTCAACCTTGGATTGGCATCTTGTAATTCTTGTTGTTCTAGATTCTTAGATTCTTACATTTGATTTTTTTTTCTTTAAAATTACTTAAATAAGTTTTATTATCAAAACAGAACCAGGTCGGTCAACACAGATATGTGTTAAAAATGATTAGTTACAACCTATTTTTGCTCCATAAATGGAGCACCACACAAATAATTTTTTTAAATGATTATTTGAAATAATTTTTTGGGGGGTCTTGCTTGACTGTTCTTTGGGGAACTGAAAATGTTTTTTCTATGGGAACAGGGCCCACAGCAGACTATACCGTATATGACTGTTTCAGTATTTGCCCCTGACACCCAGAGACCAGCCATTATCCTGAAGTAATGATCTCTGGCTCCAGGTTTTTCTGTTCTGTCAGTAAGTCTGTGGTAAACATTATTTAGGAATATGCACCACGTGAACACAATTTAAACTTGAATGCCGATGATTTTTAAACTATAGGGGCCTTTCTAAAAGACAAAATTAGATAATAATGCAGGAACTGCCTTAATTGATGTTGTCAGGTTCACTACATTGTAATTTGTGGTGCAAACTGGAAAGTGGTGAAGTGAGACTTCTCTGGGTCTGGAGCCTCAGAACAGTTACCCACAAAGCCCTGCTGTTAATTCAGTCTTCCTCCACAGCACAGGTTTAGAGGGTTTTGCAGCAGGGGTGGCCTTAGGCCTTATAGACCATTTGGGCTAACTTTAATTTCCAACATATCTGTGCTAAAATTGATAACAAATAAACAACCAAAACGTGTTGGTTTCCTATTGTGCTGTACTCTCAGTCTGACATTAGGACATTTGCTTAAGTGGGTGAAGTGTGACAGGGGTGGCAGGTTGGGCTCAGGGATGAAGCTGAGATACAGCAGGTTTAGTGGTTTAACTCAGTGGTGACAGACAAACTCAGATCCCTTATTTGGATAAAAACACCAACGCCCTGATGTAACAATTGAAAAAAATCAGTTCTGATGATTAACACTGATTCAAATGTGGGAATATTCACTAATGTTTGCTTTGTTGTTGTGAAAGCGAAGAAGAGGTGTTCTGACTCTTAAGGAAAAGCACCAATGCAGCAATGTAAAAGCACTCCATTACAAGTAAAAGTCATGCATGAAAAATTCTGCTTAAGTAAAAGTACATAAGTATAAGCAGCAAAATGTAATTCTAGATTTAAGGTAAAAGCACTGGTTTGATCCTTCTGACTAATACATTATTATATATCTTTACATTGTTAATCCTGAAACATCACTGTGTTAGTGTTACTATTGCAGCTACTTCAAACTACTTTATACACAGTTTTATATAAAGTAATAGAATATAAATCAGAGGAGTCATCAGATGATTAATAGGACAGGAAAGAAAAAACTGCAAATTTCTGACAGAGAAGTCTGTTTCCAGTTTTTTGACTTTGTATCTCATCTTTGATTTTTGATGAGCTTTTCAATCATTTGAACATTTATTGAAATGAAACCATTTGAGAAGTTTATAAGGAAAAATGTCTATTTGGTGGAGCTGATAACAGCACATGACCTCTGAAACATGACCAGACTGCACACTGCTTTTGCAAATGTAGTGGAGTAAAAACAAAAATAATTTCTCTCTTAAAATGGAATTAAAAAACAACATAAAATGGAAACAGTCAAAGTACAAGGACCACAAAATTGTACTTAAGCAAAGTACTTGCATAAATACACTTCATTACTTTCCATCACTGTTTAAATATTGGCCAGTTTGACTGTTTCAAGGCCTCAAACTAACAAATTTAGAGGGTAAATGCTTTTCTGGTGGAACTCATTACAACTCAGAAATCTGAAATGTGATGTGGCCCTGAAAGGACCCTGTTTTTAAACCAAAAAAAACTAGGTAACCTTTTTTTTTTTTTTTAAATCCGTCATTGCATTCTATTTATATGGCAATTGTTATTTTAAAATCTTTATCATGAAAATAACTTGTAAATAACTAACAATCATATCTAAAAACATATTTTCAGATAATTCAGTCCATATAAAAAGGACCTTCAACTCAAAAGTTTAATCTGAAACTTCTTCTCTCAGCTTTATGGCCTAAACACACAAATGTTTCAAAGCTCCGATGTCGACATTTTGGAAGGAGCCTTAAAGGCAACAGAACTGGATCTGTCCTGGTAAACCTGTGCCAACACTGTTTACTACCGCTCAGTGATAATAGGACCTACAATCAGGCATGGGACAAAAGCAACATTTAACGTTTTGTCAAGCCAGTGTATTACAATGACCAAAACTTCAACAGATTATCTGATCAACAGCCTCCCCTGTTGGCCACTTGGTCTTTATTAGCAAGTGCTTTGTTCAATATCCATCAAAGTTCTATTCAGTGCCGGTGAAGTGTTCAAATGAACACAGAATCAAAGGACAGGTAACAAATCATTTATTATGCTAGACAGATGAAACAAACTGAGCCATGATAGCAGCAATTCAACTATTAGAATATTTACACTATCACATCACACCAAGGACATATGTAACCCTTTACAATGTAAACACATGATACCGAATGCTAGAAAACAAGCCGATCTATCCACCAAAAAAAACAAAACAAAAAAAACAACAAAAAGAAACCTGCTTGTACAATTAAGGGGTTCATTTACTGATTTTTTTTTTTTTTCTTAAACAAGGTTCCACAGGTGAGTGACAGACAGAACTGCTTGTGTTGGAATTCAGCTGGAGAACTGAGCCTGAAAGTGAAAATAACAAGACAAACCATCAGCAATGATTGTCTTTGACATTATTTTTCAAAGAATGAGATTTTAAAAAGGCGAGGAAATAGAAGTGCACCTAATTTCTAATCATTTTCCGTATTTACTGTATGTGCATGCAGCTGCCTCTGCTCAGCCGCTGAACGAATCAACACCAGAGTCGAACTCTGTGCAGTTGAAATCACGATATTCATTATTCTGGACTGAAAATAAACGAAAACAAAAAAATAAAAATAAAAAATAAACAAAACTGAGTGTTGATACGATGACTTTGTGAATAAAAAATAAATCTGTCAAGTATACAGTAAGAGTTCTGGACTGCTTCCGACACCACAAATGTCACCTATAACATCAACGTCCATTGATTTCACAACATAAAGAACCAAAGGTGAAGTGTTATTGGTCTTCCCGTGCGTGCGCCTTTGTGCGTGCGTCCACACACGATGCTAAAGAGAATGTGTGTCTGTGGCCGAGTGCGTTATTGAGAGAAGGCCTCGTCTTTCATCAGCATGCGTGGGCTCTCCTGGTTGTCCATGCGACGTCTAGGACCCATCATGTCTGGAGGGAACAAAAGAAGCAGGATGTGTCACGCATTTACTCATCCTACCATCCAATTACGCAAGGATTTAAATTACTATTCGTTTCATCATTATTCATCGTCACGATTCCATAGTACTACTGGCTCTAAGCGGGTCTGAGTATTTTATAGCATTGACGCTGGAGAGTAGACGGTACGAATACTAAATACAGCTGCTTTGAATGAGCTGTTTACGCAGCCACAATGTAAATCTTAAGAAAACAGAGGAGATGCTTACAGCTGAAAAACAACAAGCAATGATTAAATCTTATGATCTTTGTGACGTTTACTCGCTTTCCAAAGCTGCAGTTTGATTGTAATATGTATTACATCATTTTACGTTCGGAGAAAACAGAACGTGCATTAGTAATTCCAGGGTTTTGTACGGCTCACGTTGTGACTACACATGGCAGTAAGCAGCTGGTCTACATACAGCGAAGGAAATAAGTCTGTATGACCTTATGTGGCAGAAATGTATGAATTTCTTTTACATTTCTGATCATTTGTTGAACAAAAACGTGTGTTATGCTTGAGAATATGAAATCCTAATGAATTAAACTGGTTAAAAATATGCACATATTTATTGTTTGAACCCTTAAGTTCCCTTTGGCAGTGCCTAAAAACTCTTCCTCTATGCAGGAAAAAGCCTAATTTCTGTATACCGGCTGCTAAATAGGGGCTGCAAGGTGGATCAGTGGTTAGCACAGTTGCCTCGCAGCAAGAAAGTCGTCGGCTCACATCCCGTTGAGGACACCCGGGATCTTTCTGCGTGGAGTTTGCAAGTTCTCCCAATGCAGCGTGGGTTCTCTCCGGGTTCTTCAGCTTCCGCCCACAGTCCAGAAACATGTTGAGGTTAATCGGTGATTCTAAATTGTCCGTAGGTGTGAATGTGAGTGTGCTTGGTTGTCTGTCTCTAAGTGTAGCCCTGTGATAGACTGGTGACCTGTCCAGGTGTCCCCTGCCTTCACCCTGAGTCAGCTGGGATAGACTCCAGCCCCATGACCCCAGTGAGGATTAAGTGGTGTATAGATAACAGATGGATAGCTGCTAAATCTCTTGTTCTGTGATGATTATATATTGACAACATTCTAAACAAGAGCTAGGCTTTACTTCCTAAATGAAACCATTCTACCCTAATGCTGCACTAAGGAAGATTCTTGACTAAACTAGCCTCTTTTGGTGTGCTCTTTGTAATGAAAAACATTTTAATTATGTCTAATTTAGGAGAAATATGATGCAGTAGGTGCACCAGTAAAAACATCATCTCTTTTTTGATGTGAAAATGCTTTTACTTTGTCTAATTTTTGGCATCTGTTAATATAAAGTGACCACCGGGAGGATCTTTAAACAAGAGATTACACAGGTAGTCCAACGTTGTGTAGTTTTTCTTTGCACTTTGGGACCACCAACATGCAAAAGGTCAAAACTCTGCCTTACAATAGTTCCAACTTGCAGATCGTATAACCTGTAGTGTGTCAATCACTGCCTCCAAAAATCCCAGCAGTTATTCACAACAGACTTCCTGTGACTAAATAACCTCCTGCATACTTTTCTGCATTGTTCATCCAAATACTGCAGCATTCACTGCGTATTCTGTCCTTCCATACTTCATAGTTCAGACTACTACAAGTGTGTAATGAGCAGCAGGACTATTGTCTGATGCAGTGATTAGTTGTACTGTGTCTTCTAATGGTTTTCTGAAAGGATTTGATTACATAAAGACACAAAGCAGGAAAAGAAAACATGTGATCAAGCAGAAAGTCAAAGGCTTGTTTTCACTTACTGCTCTTATGCTTGAATGATTTGGATCTTCTTGGTGAATTTGGATTCTGAGGAGGGAGGAGAAAATGCATCGTGTTATAAATGTGTTTTCAGAAATGAAAGAATGATTAGAACAATAAGAGAAATATATGATTAGATATTAATAGAGACAGCTGGATAAAAATTTAAAGTACCTTATCAGATTTCCTTTTCTTGGCTATAAAAGAAAGAATTTTAGGTTTAGGTTTACAGACAACATTTCAGTAATTTCATACATGTGAGACTAGAAATAGTACCAGTACATCACCTTTCTTTTCTGCCCCATAAGACCAGTCATTATCGTTGACGTCGTCATTGTCCTCTTGGTCGCTCTCTGACTTGTTGTTGGTGTTGTTGCCCGTCACTATTCTGTAGCGGGGGAAACAGTAAGACACGACACACACGGTGAGTCAGCATTACTCACCGCGAATCCCAGTTTGATTATAAAACAAATGCATTCTGGGCTTGTGTAGCTACAGAAACAAGCTACTTTTGGTTTCTACGGCTACAAGATTCTCTGAGATTTATTTATTTTTTTTAGAGTTTTACATCAATCTTTGCACATCACCCACCACATGTACACCTACAACTATCGCCACACAGAAGAACCGATTATTTGTCAACTACTGAACTATGGATTAGTTGAGTAACTATTTAGGAGAATAAAGTTTTAAATTCTCGGATTCCAGCTTTTAAAATGTGAATATTTTCTGGTTTCTTTCCTCCTCAATGACAGCAAACTGAATATCTTTGGGTTGTGGACAAAGAAAATGTCAGAATGTCATCTTGGGCTTTGAAAATTCTGGTTTAACACCCAAGATCTAAATAATTAATAAACAGTGGAAACATTGGTAGTGAACATTAACACATCACATGTACATTATGTAGAGCCCAGCAGAGTGAAAACATTTCAGATTACACTAGTTTGCACTGAAAGTTAGCTTCAGATCTGTTTGTGTGGAGCTGCTGTCCTCTCCTACCTGCGGTTGGCTATGCGGCTGCTGTTGCGTCCCATCCCCAGACATTTCTCCAGGTGTGGGGCGAAGCGTGAGGCAGCGATGCTCCGGCTGCAGTTGGGACACACACACTCCTTGTTTTTCCACTGGTTGTACACCTGGCCGAACACATCCAGTCCTGGCTGGTCCACAATTTCTGGAAATCCAGATGTAAAAACAGCGAGAGATGAATGTTTGCTACTTTGGCATACATTGACTCAAACAACTTTTCATGCATGAATGATGCAGCTGTGTTCCAGGGAGGCAGGATGACCGTGCTCACCAAAGTCCCTCATGCTTTCTTGGTCCGTGTCATCCAGGAAAAAATAGCCCTGCTTAACAGCCCGGTGGACCTCGAAGCAAAGACCCAGGCATGCATCCTCCACCAGGTCAGACAGGATGTCCTGAGCTAGGGCCTGGGAGGGAGGACACACATGTACAGGGGTTTCTGTTCTGTGCATGTCACCAGTGTGTGTGTGTGTGTGTTTATGTGTGTGCGTGCGTGCAATGAACTCTGCTACTGTACCTCCAGCTTGCTGTTGTCCAGGCTGGACATTGAAACCTCCTCCATTTTCATTTGCCAGAACTACCAGATGAGCAGACACTGCTGTGGTCATGCTGTAGCGCAGCAAGCATTGGCCAAAAACCAGGGGTCTGAAAAAAACAAAACAGCCGGTTTACAGCAACAACGGCGCATCTGAGGGCAACATTTGACGTCTTGAATGGGATTCATGTACTCACAACTGCACGTTTGAACACCGCCAGGGAGCCACTTCTCACGTTCACAACCTGCAAATATCACAAAACAGGAGGTGAAGCAGCATCTCAGTGAGCACGGAGCCAAACATGACGCTAGCACAGAGCAGCTCCGAGCATTAACATGTCATGAAAGTAGCTTAGCCCAAACCTTGGGGAGGAAAACAAAGAGCGTGGCTATGAATAGGCTGCTGGAGGAATTGAAAATGCCAAGAGGTTAGAGGAGAGGCGGTATCCTGCCCGCAAACCCGCCAGGTCGACAGCCGCTAGCTAGCATGTCTCCCACCAGGCTGAGCAGCCACAAACACGGTTTATCGGTGACTGAAGACACACATCTGACTACATGGAGGCTGCTTCCCCCCTGAACCCGACTCTGCTGCTGCTGCTGCTGCTGCACTGCGGCTGTCCGCCTCCCAGCCGCCCCGTGTGAACCCCCCAGTGGGGAAAAAAAACGACGCCTGTGCCCCCCAACACAAAGCCCATGTATGAGGAAAAAAACGGAAACGCGGCGCCGGAGAAGCCGCTAATTGCGTTTATTTACCTATTTCGGCAGGCATCCATCTTTACATCAGAGAGATCAGACAGTAGCAATCGATCGCTGCACGAGTTCGCGGCTTCCTCTGCTGCACCGCCGGAGCCTCCGAGTGTTTATGAGCCCGGACAGCATGTGACTGCGTGTCTCCCCCAGAGTGACTCGGGCTTGAACCGGCCTTTTATTTGGCTTTGTGTGCACCGTCGTATTTTTAGCCTTTACTCTAGTTTGAGCCCAGTGATTTGAACTTAACCGCATCACGCAATCGAGACGAGTCACATATTTAAAACAGGCAAACAAGTTTATTGGAAACAGCTTCTCCCTCTAGGATTTACAGACAAAATTATGAAAAGGTTTAGATTTATAGAAATAACAGTAATTAATAAAACAAAACAAAACAAAAAACAATGCTTGATAAGGCTTTTTTTTCATTTTCCCCATTTACTCAACACAAAAATAAAAAGCAATCCCATAAATTACGTGTTCAGTCCCCTGGTAACGATGCTTTTCCTTCTAAACCACTTTATACACACGTTTTCATGGATAACAGTAGAAACAGACAGATTCACAGAATATAGGCACAACAAATGTCTTTGTTGCCTCCTTTATTCACAAGGATTTATAACCAACCTCAGATTATGTAAGTAGTGATAAGGGCCCCACTTATCTATCTGCTTGTTAACACTATTAAAATAATAATAAAAAAGAAAAATATTATACATACACACATATATATATGCACAGACGCTTGAAACCAGAATTTTACATACACAGTATAAAAAGACATGAAACCTTTTTTTTTTCTCACAGTCTGACATTAAATCAGACTAAACTTTTCCTGTTTTGGGTCAGTTAGGATTGCCAACATTATTTCTGTCTGCTAAATGTCAGAATAATGAGAGAGAGAATTTTTAAAAGAGAATATTTTATTACTTTCTTCAAAAATAAGAAGTTTACAGACACTCAGATTATGCCGACATGGGCTGAAAGGCTACTCTGAGAGGAAGACGACATTACTCCAAAAGCAACATAAAAAAGCCAGATAACAGTTTGTAAATGCACAGAGGGACAAAGAGCTTCATTTATGGAGACATGTCCTGTGGTCTGATGAAACTAAAATTGAACTGTTTGGCTGCAATGACCATTGTTAGATTTGGAGGAAAAAGGGGGGAGCTTGCAAGCCTGAGAACACCATCCCAACTGTGAAGCACAGGGGTGGCAGCATCATGGTGTGGGGGTGTTTTGCTGCAGGAGGGACTGGTGCACTTCACAAAATAGACATTGGCATCATGAGGAAAGAACATTATGAGGAAATACTGAAGCAACATCTCAAGACATCAGCCAGAAAGTTAAAGCTTCGGTGCAAATGGATCCTCCAAATGGATAATGACCCTCAGCATACCGCCAAACTAGCTACAGAGTGGGTTAAGTACAACAAAGCCAATGTTGTGGAGCGGCCATCACAAAGCCTTGATCTCACTCCTGTAGAAAATTTGTAGGTAGAACTGATAAGGCGTGTGGAGGCAGTCAACAAACCTGACTCAGTTCCATCAGTTCTGTCAGAAGGAATGGGCCACAATTCCTGCAAACTATTGTGAGAAGCTTGTGGACCTAAACCCAAAACATTTGACCCAAGTCATAGAGTTTAAGGGCAATGCTACCAAATACTAAGGAAATGTATGTAAACTTCTGACTTTGAAGAAAGTAGTAAAAGAAAAATCTAAAAAAAAAAAAAAATCTCTCTCATTATTCTGGCATTTAGCAAATAGAGATGATGTTGGGAATCCTAAGTGACCTAAAACAGGAAAAGTTTAGTCTGATTTAATGTCAGACAGTGTGAAAAAAAAAAGGCCATGTGTCTTTTTATACAGCGTATGTAAACTTCTGGATATATAGATTTCAGGTTATGAAATAAACCTACATTTGCTGTTTGCTTATTTGAATAAATGAATTGCACTCAGGCTCCTGTGCTGAAACAATGTGGTAATTTGATGAAATATGTTAGAAGTGTATTTGATTTTTGATAAAAATCTATCCTTTTTCTAAACATACTGGGGTAAGTATTTGTTGTTCCAACCACAGCATCTCCACATCATGAAACAACCAAGTGTAATGGAAATGAGAAACAGCAGATCAAGAGTTTGGGACATAGGCCAGAAACCACAAGTCAGCGTGTGCACCATTTACATCGTATAAGTGTCACAGGTCTGTGAAACACTGACTTAATTAAGTTGCTGATGCTGCTTGTGAAATGTGGTTCCACTCTTCCCAATGGGTCGGTGAAGCTGGCTGACATTTTGGGAACAGGATCATGTTGTGCGACACATCCAACCAGAGCAGCATGTGGCAGATTCCATATTGATTTCTTAGACGACAAATGGTGGAGTTGTGGAAATTCAGGTGACATGCCAGCAACCTGTTCTCATCTTCCTCCTGTCATCTGTGGTATTGTGTCATTTTAATCAAGATGCATTTAAGGTGCCCTTTTGTATTCTCTGGTCAAATAAGCTTCTGTACTGGTCACACTACCCATAAATCCACATCTGGCTCCAGTGTGGATTAACTTAGTGGTGGAGATTTTCTCACCAGCTGAACAGCTCAAAAACTTTTTGGCAGATGTGAATAAGTTTAACCCTTTTTTGTAATCACAGCAGAATTTTTAATTTCTAAGTTTAAAAATAGGACCATTTGCATGCTGCGTTTGTGCTTTAGTTCAGCACAGATTGTAACACAGGACCACATTATTGGCTCATTATGTATGTCCAGTATGAGCAGATATAAGGACTGGTTGAAACACATTCTTGTAGAGGGCTCCTGTCGTACAACAGGGCAACAAGATTTGGTCGTAACACATGATCCACCTGAAAGACCCGATAAATGACTCACGATGAGTGACACAGTTTTGGTTATTTTGAAGTTTTGCATATCACTTTTATTAAATACAAAAAGAATTCTTTACAAACTTACATTTTGATGACTGTTTATCCAGTCAGAACTATTCAAGGTTTCAGAGCCATACTTTTCTGTGAATTCAGCTTTTCAGGCACCTAAATGCTCTCAATATCAGAGGACATTATCCATCGGCAGCGTGTATTCCCAAACATTACACAACATCTCAGAACAAAAAATCAACAGCAAAACAGTAGAAAAAACTGTGGAGCCCTGAGGGTTTGTGGTCCTTTGTAACCCAGCATGGATGTGCTACACAGCACAGAAGGCCAATGTGATGGGAACCTTCCTGCCAGCATGACCACCAAATAAAGCCGTCACATCCAGAATCCAGATCTGAATCTGTGTGTGGCACTTCTGCTATCCATCTCATCACCATCTACATCTCAAACATGACATCCTCTTCATCTTCCTCCTCCTCCTCATCCTCCTGTAAATCAGCAGTTGATATTTAACATCTGGATTAGAACTTAACGTTTTTCCCAAAGATTTGATATTTTCTGTCCCAGTAGTAGAAGCGCTTCATGCTGGGAATCCCAGGAAAGTGACTCAGTTTCAGCTTATGTCAAACACACTGGTCAAACAACAGTAACGAAATTTGCATAAACCTATGGGTTCCAAATTATTATTATTATTATTATTATTAACAACAACAACAACAACAACAATAATAATAATAATAGATCATATTCATATAGCGCTTTTCTAGACACTCAAAGTCGCTTTACACTGTGAATCATTCATTCACACACATTCATTCTGGTGATGGTAGCTATGATTGTAGCCACAGCTGCCCTGGGGCAGACTGACAGAGGTGTGGCTGCCATCCTGCGCCTACTGCAGGTCCGACCACCACCTCAAACAACCCATTCATTCGCATTCACACCAGGCAGGGTGGGTGAAGTGTCTTGCCCAAGGACACAACGACCACAACACAGATTACAGGGCGGAATCAAACCACTGACCTTCCGATCACTGACCGACTCGTTCTACTACCTGAGCCATAGCCGCCCCAAATTACAATGCTTTAGTCTAATATTTGTTGGTACTGATATTTATGAAGGCAAACAAATGCCTTGTATGTTAATCCACATCAGACTGAGCATGACAGCTTGAACTTCACTACAGCTGCGACGAAGAACCAGAAAAGTCAAGTTCTCCAGATGTTGCTGTTGTCCCTTTACCACATTTATATAATCTAACGTACTGTACTTCATTGTTACTCACCTGTACTTAAGACTTACTACAGGTTTATTTTATTTATTTATTTATTTATTTATATCTCTCTAGGTTTGGCTGCATATACCTCTGTATATACTCGTTATACTTTTTTTTTCCTTTATGTTTGTTTATTTATTTATGTTGCATAGCATTCTGTTACTATTGATATCAGAGACGATGTTCTATTGTTCTGTTTGTTTGGCCCCCGTTTGAGGACCCTGGGTTTACTTTACTATTACAAAAAAGGGAGGTAAGATATGTGTAATATCTGTCCACTAGTGTATTCCCAATTAAAAAAGATTAACAAAAAAAAAAGAAAAAGAAATGTCAAGTTCATCGCCTGTGTCTGTCTGCTGACAACAGCCTGATATGACAAATTTTCATCGTATTTAAAAAAAAAAAAACAAAAAAAAACTTTTTTGAAGTACAAACTTTGGCACCTGGCAGGCTTTAACTTTCAGTTTTCTTATGCTGAGATTCCAAATGTCACCACAAACAACTTTTTTGAAACAGAACAAAATTGTTATTCTATTCGTATTATAACACAGAGCTGTTTGCAGACTTTGTAACTAACGATTTGTCCTGGAACAAAACCGGACAAACGAAATTAACTAAGTTTTGGATCAGTGCCTGCCCACACAGAAGGACACAACGTCTTATGTATTTAAGTGGAGGTATGTATATTTTCTATGTACTGGCCCATTTGGTTTATCCTTAATGGATCACATTCCCCCCCCAGTTTCCTGTTATTATATTTTCCAGGATTTAGGTTGTTTTTTTGGCAAAACAAACAAACAAACAAACAAACAAAAAGCAAATAGTTTTCTAACCTCCTCATACTCCCAACAGCTCTCTTCTTCACTGAACTCGATGTCGTCGTCTTCGGAGTCCTGAGTGACAGACAAGAGACATGGACTCAAACTAAGACTAAAGCATAAAAAATATCTTTTCCTCCTTCTATTAACAATATTATATATTTCCTATTCTGTGGCTGAGATAAGTGTAACACTGCATTTGAGTTTTACAAATGGTAAAACTTACTGATGGTTGGCTCAGACGTGGTTCTTTTCTGACAAAAACGTCTGTTAGCTTGACCTTAAGGTACTGATGCTTCTGCAAATAAAAAGAAAAAAGAAGAAGCATATTATGAATTTAAGAAAACAAACTTTGTAGAGACGAATATTTAAAAAAAACACTACGTGGGAAGTTGAATTTGAGGTGCTTACTTTGGGGTGACGTGTCAGATAGCTCTCCTGCTCTGCTGCCGTCAACGTCTAAAGAATGGAGAAGATGGGAAACTTTAACTTTCAGCTGAAATATAAAGAAATGGCTTTAGAAATAAAGGGGTTCTTCATACTTTAAACCACTTCTGCAGCTCCAGTGAGTATTTTTTCTTCTTTTCATCAACTTTTATTGCGTAATATTCTTTCTGCTTTGTGGAGAGGTCCATCCACATTCTGCTGGCCTCAGCAAGGCGCTCCTTAGGACCTGGGATTTTTTCCTTTAGAAGTTCCATCTGATTTTTGAAGAAAATCACATTACCAGATCTGAGAAAGAAACAAAACAAACACAAGTTGGTTTCCTGACAGAAAATTAAAGATTTGATTTGTTCAAAGTTTAAATAAATCATTGAGGGAACATATATTTGTGTGTTACGCTCACAGGGATGGCATCTTTGGCTCGCCAGGTGGTTCCTCCACAAGACTTTCCTCATTTCTGCTCTGCATCGTTTTAAATAAAGAGGAGATTGAGCTGATGTGATTTGTTCATGAAGATCACATAAACAATCAGTACAAGATGTTATTGACGTAAGTAAAAAGCAAAAAAGAGAAACATTAAAATGTCATGGGAGAAAAACACTAAAATCTGGAAAAACAAGCAAATCAAAAGAAAAGTTCCTCAAATTTCTTTTTACCAAATCTGTTAGCAAATTGTTCACTTAACAAGAAGAAGAAGTGTCGGTACGTTGACATTTTGTTCTGCCTGACAAGTGTCTCTTTTGTCATGCATATTTCATGTCGTGAGTTTGCCAAAGAATGAAACAAAGAAGCAGTGAGAGGAGCTGAAATCTTGCTTTTTCTACAAAGATCTACCACAACGGTGGCCAAAACTGGAGGGTTTTAAGAGTTGACAAATGGACTGAAGTTCAATTTCAAGCAGACTTCAATGCGTACAGCATGTCTTTAATCTTACAGTCACTCGTTAAGTCTATTTTAATGAAAAAAAAAAACACTCATAGCAGTGTTTAGTATCGTTGTGGGCATTATAGTGGATTACACTGAACATGGACAAATAAAAGAAAACCTCTTTTGGATGTAGCTGCAAGAGGAAGGTTAGCCCAAGTTTAACAGAAGGAGAGTCCAACAACTTCAAATCACATACAAGCTAACGTGCAAGATCAGCAGTCTGTGGTGGCAGCATTTCTGAATGAAAGATGCTTCTGGACGAATGTTCTTTGGACAGACAAAACTAAATCAGAGCTTTTCTTGTAGGTCACATCAGCTCGATTTTTACAGAAGGAAAAAAAAAGCTTTCAAATAAAAGAATACAATCCCACAGTAAATCTGAACGGGACATTGATGCTGAGAAGCCACAAAGATGGATGTTTGCCAAAAAATGAGATTTTCAAACGCGTCTTTGCTGATTGCTGATGCAGATCCTACTGTAGTGAAATTAACAATTTAACTGTGCGCAGTCGCTGAGCAAAATAATAAAACTACATCAATTTAGAAGTAAAACCTAACACATTTATTTTTCTTTATAACATTTTCATGCAAAACTGTAACTTGTAGCCTTTCAATGCTAATTCTGAGCAGACGCCCATATTTCATTTTAAAGCCCTCATCAGCCAAAACTGATGCTGTGCCAACATCATTATGCATACGTGAATTAAATCATTTATTATCAAAGCATTCGGAAGCAAATTGGTCTGTCAAGGCTCCACCAACAGCATAATGGCCTATAATACATCCAAAAGGGACCAACTGACTGAGGACTGTTCTAAAGTGGCCCGCTATGAGTCCTGATCCTAATTTTTCTGAGCATCAGTGGAGAGCTGAAATCTGCAGTTGATGAAAGGCCTCATTTAAATTTGAGAGATGTGAAGTAATTTGCTCAAGAAGAGTGGAATTACTTGTTGTGAAGTGGACGAGTCTCAATAAGAGCTACAACAAGTGCTTCTTTGCAGTCTTGGCCTCAAAGCAGTGTGTTATAAATTAATACGTTAAAGGCAGCAGTATTTTCATTCATTCAAATTTTCATTGTTACACTGTTGATAATGTAATATAATAATAATCAAGATAAATATCAAACAGACAATAACAAGTCAGTTACTTTCGTCAATTTCAGCATATTTTAGAGAGTTTATCTTCTAAAGTAGAAAGATACCAACACCTCAGGCCACATCTAAATGTTTAAATATCTGAGAATTTTTAACAGTATCACAAATAAAGACTGTAATGTGTGAGATTTGCACACTTTTTCCATCAAGTTACTTCTCACCTTGCGCTTCTTAGGTCTTTTGATGCCATTCTTCTTCAGGATCTGCTCCTGCTTCTCTTTATCAAACCTCTGTGGAACATAAAACACACGTTGTTACACAAAGTCTGTCAGCATCAGCTCAACACTTCAACTACAGCCGTACTCACCTGTAAATATTCATTCAGCTTTATCCTGTACTGTCTCTTCAACTGCAATACATTTACAAAGTAGTGAATTCAGACTGAGGACATTCTGTATATAATCCAACATGATAATGTTGATTTCAGAGTCTTGTGGTGCAGCAGTGATTCTACTGGGAACATTAATGAGCTTGTGTGTTCATACCTCATTGCAGTTTGTACTGTATTTTTTCCTCTCTGCTTCACTTAACTCTCGCCAACGTTCAGCGCAAGCCCTCAACATGTAGTTTCTTGAGGTACCTGGCATGTGAGGTAGTTGCTCTTTCAAGAACAAATTATAGCCAGAGCTAAAGACATACAAACAAACAAACATGTGATCAGTTGCCAGTGAATTAAAAGCTTGCATTCTTGGTAGTTTAAAATGGTTTAGTTCATTTAACCAAAAATAAACATAAAACGTAATTAAAACCATAATAAATGCAATTCATAAAACAATCTAGGCTTTGTTGGTGCCAAGTAAGCGTTGTCCATCAAAGTTCCTCTTTATATGTAATGGCAGGGAGGCTATATGGAGTGTGCATCCCTTTAGGATGAGGATGAGGCCACCTTTTCAGGGCATCAAAACCTGCCTTTCAGGGATGTTCCTAGGGCCATGTCAGGAGCATCTGTATTGCAATATACAAGTAGCCCTGGATAAACTGAACAAGCTGAACTAATCCTGACATGACCCCATGCAACTTCTGCAATTGCAGCTATCTTCCTACTTCATGCCTGCCAGAGGTAGGACAAGACGTGAATATCAATGTAGGTCCTTTCCAAAACCAGTGATGACTGTAATATCAGCCAACGTTGAGGGATTTTTAACTGCTAAGCAGCATGTCTCAGCAGATCTGTGTAGCAATCTTCAATGTAATGTCCTATGTCTGCAGGAGACTTACAGAGGAAGCAACAAACATCGCCCAGTCATACCTGGCATGATCCTTCCCACTGAATGACTTCACGAACAGTATGGCAGCACAGTCTATGTCACAACAGGATCTGATATAGAAGCTAACACTCAGTCAGATACCAACAACATCGAAGTGCTGACAGTTGAACTTAGTAGTGTTGTAGTGACATCTGTCTACAAGCCACCTACTGCAGACTTCAACTTCCTGCAACATCTTAAACATGAGAAGCCATAGATTAATATAAGCGATTTCAACAGCCACAGGACCTAGAGGGAGTACACGGATACCAACAAAGACAGAGAAAAATGAATTGACCACAACCAACAAAGGCTTATTCATCACCCAAAGCTCCCTACATCCTTCCAAAGTGCCCACTGGAAACGAGTGACAACCCAGACCTAGCTATCTTCAGCAACAACATCAACAGTCTGTGCAAGTAAATTGTGCTGAATCCAGTTCCCCATTGCCAGCACCGCCACATCATCATGTAGGCTAAGGTCACACCTACCAGAGGTAGGACAAGACGTGAAGACGTGAATCACACCAAACAGCACTCTTCAAGAGACGCTTTAACTACAAGAAGGCAGACTGGAATGGATTCACCAAAGAGTTGGAACAGGAGGTGAAGAGAATAACACCAGTAGCTCAGAACTACAACATATTTGCCAAACTGGTCAAGAAGAGTGCTCGTTGACACATAACAGAAGGCTGTAGAATGGAATATGTATCTGGTCTTTCCGATTAAATAGATAAAGAATACCAAGAGTATGTCACCATGTTTGAAGCTCACCCACTCTCTAAAGAAACTTCCACTAAAAGGAGAGCGAATCATAGAACATATATCCAAGGAATGTCAAAAAATATGGCATTCCCTCATTGAGTCAACTGATATGTTCTAGAACAGCAAGAAAGCATGGTCAACCATTGGGGAGCTTTAGGGAGAGCCGAAAGTTTCTCCTTGCCAGCACAAAGTCACTGCAAACCAAGCTGCACAACCAAAGCTCAAACTAAGACCAAACTGGACCGCGAGCAGTAGAACAAAGACCTAGTTTTCACAAGACTATTTACCCTCAAACAGATAAAAGCAGGCATCTCCACCCTTAAACCAGGCAAGGCATTGGGTAAAGACAACATTGCAACTGAGCAGATCAAGAACTTCGGTTCAAAGGCTAGGAAGTGGCTACCCGCACATTATAACAACTGTTATAAAGTATGGGCAGCCTCAGAAGACAACTCAGAAGTTTCCCAATATCTGGAAGAAAGCTCACGTCACAACATTGCTGAAGCCAGGTAAAGATCTATCAAGAAGACCAATCTCTCTTCTCAGCCACATCTACAAGCTCTTTGAACGCTTTATCCTCCAAAGAGTTAGCCCTGTCATAGATGAACACCTCATCCTAGAACATGCAGGCTTTCGCCCAGGCAAGTCCACAACCAGCCAAGTACTGAACCACACTCATAATCAACAGTGGGTTTGAGGAAGGAATGGCAACTGGTGTTGTGTCTGTGGACCTCTCAGCAGCTTACAACACAGATGCCTCCTCCATAAGACACTGGAAATCACTTTCGACATCCACCTGACTGAAATCATCAAAAGTAGGCTGGAGAACAGATTTTTTTTTTTTGTAGAGCTGGGAAATTAGGAGAGCAGATAGCGAAGACTGAAGAATGGCCTCACACAGGGAAGTGTGATTGCTCCACTCCTCTTCAACATCTACACCAATGACCAATCAAAA